TTTCCCTTATAATGCTAATATATTATAGAGCACAGCTTGCAAAGATAGTCTTCACTAACATTATCACACAGATTTTCAGAAAGAAAAAGAAGACAGCAACTACAGAGAGTCACCATTCTGTTTCATAAAGCTAGCTCAGAGAAGCGGTGCCTGGGTGGCTCGGTTGGTAGAGCATCAACTCTTGATTTCAGCTCAGGTCATTATCTCATGGTTCATGGGACTGAGCCCTGCGTTGGACTCTATGACAGCACAGAGCCTGCTTGGGATTCTCTCTCTCTCTCTCTCTCTCTCTCTGTCTCTCTCTCTCCCTCCCTCCTCCCCCCCACATACTGCCAACTCTCTCTCTCTCTCAAAATAAATAAATAAACATAAAAAAAAACTAGCTCAGAGAATATGATCCACTTAGGTAACAAACTAAAAATATTAACAAAACTCAGTCTTGTCCCCCAGTCTAAGCCAGACTTTTATGCCTATTTATAACTATTAACATCCAATTCTGTTATCTGAAATTATAAATCCATCCTTGTCAGCATAATTTATATTAAAAAAAGAAAGAAAAATATATAGAATTCTGAGTACCTTTACTTCATCATTTATTCTCCTGGAATTATGCATAAATTTGTATCTGTATAATTCCAAACAGTGCAAATAGTCAAAAGGTTTGTCAAATTAGTTGGGCATCATTGTCACTTCCTTTTTATCCCCACTGATAAAGTTAATTTGTCTATCAAGACCCACAAATTGGAGACCACACTAGTGGCCCAGCTCATATCACAAATCTAAACTTTAGTTAGCCTGCACTTAATGGAAATACCTATCAAGGAATCCTTCATCTCAGCTTTAGCTAGCTTTCCTTACACTAAAAAATAGGACCTGCTAGTCTTTATAAGGAAATCCTTGATCTCTTAGTCAATCATACCATTTCTGTGTTGCCTCTTCTAAAATTCTATAAAACTCTCTTGCCCAAAATCCCTCCAGAAAAGTGTTGCATTGCTTGTGAGGCACAATACTCCTCCAATTCATGGATTGTTTTCCTTTGAATAAAAAGCATCAAACCCATTATTAAATTGTTTTAGTTTTGTCATTTGACACTACAGACATGGATATAACAGAACAAGTGATTGGACTGAATTCCTTTTTCGAACTAAGAGGTCTTATTTTTTTTTAATTTTTAAATGTTTGTTTTTGAGAGAGTGCCAGTGGGGGAGGGGCAGAGAGAGAAGGAGACACAATTCAAAGTAGGCTCCAGGCTCTGAACTGTCAGCATAGAGCCTGACACAGGTCTCGAACTCATGAACTGAGACAAAGTCAGAAGCTTAACAAATTGAGCCACCCAGGTGCCCCTAAGAGGTCTTATATTAATGACTAATTCTTACAAGCTTTTCTAAAAAAACAAAATCATAAACATATGCACAAGTAGGGGCGCCTGTATGGCTCAGTCAGCTAAGCGGCTGACTTCGGCTCAGGTCATGATCTCGCGGTTCTTGGGTTCAAGCCCGGCGTCAGGCTCTGTGCTGACAGCCAGCTCAGAGCCTGGAGCCTGTTTCAGATTCTGTGTCTCCCTCTCTCTCTGACCCTCCCCTGCTCACGCTGTCTCTCTCGCTCTCTCTCAGAAATAATTTTTTTAAAAAACATTAAAAAAAAAACATATACACAAGGAAAACTTTAAAAGAATGTATACCAAAATGTTAACAGTGACTATTTCTGGATGCTAAAATTATGAGTACTTTTAAACTTCCTGTTTTATAAATTCAACTTAGATTAATAATTTTTTCAAGAAGACTATGTTAATTTCTTCTTCAGGAATATATAACAATTTCCATTTCAAGCATTTCTCTATAAGTAGTTGTGGGGTGGGGGGGCACCTGGGTGGCTCAGTCAGTTAAGCGTCTGACTTAAGCTCATGTCATGCATTTATCTATAAGTAGTTGTGGGGTGGGGGGGGCGCCTGGGTGGCTCAGTCAGTTAAGCGTCTGACTTCAGCTCATGTCATGATCTAACAGTTCATGAGTTCGAGCCCCACGTTGAGCTCTGCTCTGTGCTGACAGCTCAGAGCCTGGAGCCTGCTTCAGATTCTGTGTCTCCCTCTCTCTCTGCCCCTCCCCCACTTGCGCTCTGCTTCTCTCTCTCAAAAAAAAATAAACATCAAAAAAAAATTTTTTTTAATAATAATAAAAAATAATAAAAGTAGTTGTAGGGGGGCTATCTTCTACTTATTATTAAAACTGTGAACAAATAGGCTGGCAAAATAACTGGTAACAGCACTACAACCAGTGTGACTGAAGCAAATAAACCTACAGTCTTGTACCTTCTTTCACTGTATTTCATCAATATAATGAGACACTTAAGATTCCCCTGTGTATGAGCACAACTCGGGTGACATTTTCAGACTAAATTGTTTTGTCCATAGTAGAGGCTTAATAAATGTGGCTTTATCATTGCCTTTCTCCACTGAATGCCCAGTAAATATATATTGGATGTAATCCTTAAAAAATTGCTAAGAAATGCCTATAATAGTTAAACTTTATAATTTAGCAATTTCTTGAGTACTTTTGTTCACAAACATGAATACTGCATAGCAATTATATTTTATATCAAATATCTCTTTAATTATATAATATTAATTTGGATGCAATGTGATTAACAATTTTACATAATACAGGAAATTATTTTTGGACAAACTCGTCCTAAAATTGACTTCCAGGTATAAGTTATTGATCCTAGGTTAGTGGTTTAAAACCTGTTTGGGTCATGTACACCTTTGATAGTATCATAAAATTATAGGCTTTTCCCCAGGAAAAATATGCATTAACAAAATAAATACACACATCAAAAAAAAAAAACCCAACAAATAAACACACACACACACAATAAAATAAATATAGAATAATTGGGTATACAGTTCCAAGGCAAATAATTTAAGGTGAAGGATTCCTATTCTAGACCATCTGAGCACATGGCCTGTTTTCTTACTTACAAGTGCCTATTGCTTCTCATTTTCACTGCTCCTTATTATGAATGTGGAATGACTGAGATGATTCATATAATAACATGTTTTTAACATAAGCACTTATTATTGTCAGCCACTGTTCTAGTGCCCTATTAATATTAACTCTCCTAATCTTCATAAAAACTCTTTGAAATTCATACTATTATTTGCATTTTACAAACATAAGTTATGGAATAGAAAGATACTGAATATATTATCCAAACTCAAAAATACTAAATGGTGAAACTAAGATTTTAATTTAGATACTCTAGATTAGGGGTTAGCAAACTTCTGTAAAAGACCAGATAGTAAATATGTTAGGCTTTGTGGGCCAAGAAGCAAAATCAAGGATATTATGGAGGTGCTTATTTAACAAGACAGGTAACAGATTTCCACAAATTTTTTTATTGGTCAAATTCAAAAATTTATTTGTGGACACAGATTGGAATTTCATATAATTTTCACATGTCAAGAAATACCATTCTCCTTTTGATATGTTCTTAATTATTAAAAAATGTTAAAACCAGTCCTAGTTCACAGGCCCTAAAAAAATAGGTAAATATCTAAATCACTATTTTTCAGGGCATTTCAGATGAGGTTATTCTATATCCTAAAAAAACAAAAATGAAACTTCATAAAACAATGAGGAAGCTCAAAATGACTTCTAGCTTGGTTTTGGGATGTGTGCCTGTAACACTGTTCTTCTCTCATGGCTCTTCTTTTGGAATACAGCAAAAATTGGAAGGAAAAGAGAATCATGACATACAAGGCCTTTCCTGGAGACCAGAAAGGCTAAACAAGAACAAATTTCCTCATCACTAGCAAGGCCCCCTGATACATAAACATACACTAATGAACTATGAGAAAGACTAAATACTGTTGACTTTCCCCTGTATCCAAAGAAAACTCAGGTTCCCAGAAGCCTGGGACCGGAATCTGTTTCTATGTTCACAGCAGTTTCCTGTCAACAGAGCTATAAAAATGCTGTGGATCTGCAATACGGGCCTTGCCCTCACAGAGCTGCCAAGAGGAATCTTCAGAGGAAGTGATCCAACTCTTGCAGCCTCCATATCCTGTCTTTGGGGGGCAATTCCAGCCCTACAATTGCCTTAATAAAGCACAGGGCTGTGCTTTTTTAGTTATAACATTCGTTCTAGGTCTCAAATGTTCAACTTCCCTTTGACAGCCATTTCTGTGCAACCAGTATTTCTGTGCAGTGTGGCTATAAGGTGAAATGACATAGGCAGTGAAAGAAAACCCAGTAACACAAATTCCAAGAAAGCGTGGGATTGATAATTGGGTCCAGAATAGGCTACACTTAATGTACTCTATGCCTTCAATGCATTAAGCACTAGGCTGGACAACAGATAGAGGGTGCACTGATAAAGGCAACAAAGGCCATGCTTTAGAACAGGGGTCTCTGTGTATAACTGGGGCCTCAAAGTCTTTCACAGGCACAGATTGAGTCACACGGGGATCTTATCCACAGATTCCTCAGCCTCTGAACTGCAAATATAAGCTCTACCTTACTAAAAGTAAAAAAAGCCACACTAGGCCAATTTTGGTTAGCCTCCAGTTGGTCACAATAGCGCTGTCACTAGTTCACAGTTCACAGTACAACACACCTCACACTTCACACCTGACCACGGTCATGAAACGGCCCCGCCCCTACTCAGTTGCAGGAGCCTAATCTGGGCCAGTCAGGTCCTCCCCACCATTCGCGCGCGCACACATACACTCTCTGACACACGCATACACTCATGATCACAGCCCACAGTGGCGCTGGCACACAATCGCACACACGCTCACAATCACCTTCCACATACAGGCCTGACGTTCCTGCCTCCACCTGTCCGATACGCTCCTGGGAAACTCCGGGCCTCCTGCAGGGAGCTGCTCCCGCACCCAGACCCGTGTCACTTCAACTCACCACAAGGAAAACGGTGACTGCAAGCCTAGAGAAAAATGAACCAGAGGACCATGTTCACAAACTCCCCGCAGTCCACTCTGGAATAGCGCGGACGTTGACATAAACACACAGCAGAGCCGGTAGCTGGGACAGCTAGGTTACCAGCGCGTCGCCCCGTAGACTCCTGGGAGCTCCAGCCCACTCGGGAGTGCGCAGGCGCAGACGACTGATCCTTGGCCCGGGGTGAGGCTGGTAGGTCCTAGGGGCTCTGAGGAGGCGGGAACCCAGAGCTCCGGCCGAGAGGGCAAACTAGGGAGCGAGTCCGGGTGGGGAGGCCAGGGAGGAAACCGGAAGTCCAAGCTGGGCCTGGTAATTCTGAGGAGGGAACTGGAGCCAAGCCCACGGTAACCAGACACTAGGATCTGTGAGAGCGGGGCCTCGGGCGTGGTCCGTGGGCGTGACCCTGAGGGTGACAATCGAGTTTGACCTGGAGCGAGCTCCGCGCGGGGGGGGGAGGGTTGTCTGTTTTGACCCCAAGGAAGCTCTGTCGCTGGGAGCGGGGCCTCATACAGCGGGCGGGGTGTGTGTGTGTGTGTGTGTGTGTGTGTGTGTGTGTACACCGAATTGAGGCGGCCGCCTGTGCTCATCCTGCTGCGTTGGGGTACCTGCTACTCCTGAGATGCTGCGACCGATTGTGTGTGAAAAGTGCACGGAGTCCTGTTGCCGCCTGGGATTTTTTACTTACGCGTCTAATTTTAGACTAGGTGTGAGCGTGTTTGAGGCTGTAGGTGACTATGGAGAGGCGAAAGTGATTTTGTGACTTTGCCTGGAATTATGTAATGTGCTGTCTGAGGTTGTAAATGACAGATGGGTACTGTGAGATGGTGATGGTGGTTTTCTGAAGTAAGTTTGATTGAATGTAACTATGCATGTGTTTGCAACCTACTGTTATTATATGTGATGTTTTTGTGATTGAGAAACTTTTCATGACCCCTGTCTAGTTGGGTTTTTAGTATTTGATTATCTGAATAGTGGTCATTAAACCTGCCTCCAAAATTGTAACTCAGTAGCAATTTAGCAAATAGAGCTATACGTATCGGAGAGGAAGAGGTAAGATTTCATTTCCCAGGTGGCAAAATTCATTACAGGGAAACAGTATACAAACTAAAACCAATGTGTTGAAATTAATAGTGTTCCGTGAATAGCAAGCAGGAATAAAACAATTTTTGCCCATAACTAACACTTCAACACTGGTATATGAGGGCGGTTTCCAGCTTCTGGATGAAATCAGTGGTAGGGTCAGCAGCTTCTTCAGGCATTCCAAGATAAGAAAAAGTATTTGGTATACTTTTAACGACAAGGCCAGTCTCATTATAGTGGTTAAAATAGTCTGCTAATTAAAATATTCACTGTAGCAGTCAGTACTCCGGACTTCATTCAGCACGGTATCATCCTCTCCCTAGGAAGACTACCGAGGAGTGGAAAGATTAATGTCTTTCCTAGTTCCATACTTGTACTACTAAAAAGTGTTGTTCAATAGTTAATACTTAAATTAGCTATCAGTAAGTAATAAATAAGTGAATTTTCAGTAATTCTGCTTATTAAGTAGTATGATACTGGTGAATCAGTAAAGAGTAAGTAGAGGAAATTAATATCCAGATATTCTAAAGCATATAGGGATATGTAATATATGATAGAGATGGCATTTTACATCCATTGAAAAAATATGGATTATACAATGTGTAATATTGCTAAACAAGAAAACATACAAGAAAAAAATCTTCACAAGGTAAAAACACTTTAATAGTCATATAAACAACTAAGAAAGTTATTTGCAATTTAAAATAGCCAATTTTCTAAATAAAAGATGATAATATCAACCAATTAGGAAATAAAAACACACACGAAAAATAGACATACTATATAAGAAGATGCCATCACAGAAAAGAAGTAAAAGGAGCTTATTCTCTCATAATAAATGTGTAAACTACAACTACAATATATATCTGATAGGGAGAGATTAAAAATGTATTGCATTTGCAATTGTATTGCATTAAAAATGTTAATTGCATTCATCAGGGTGTGGGGGGGTATTTTCATGTGCTAATAGTAACAGTGTAAATTGGTAGAAAGTCCATGAAGAACTATTTGGAAATAGATGATAAAGCTGTCTTCCATGGGAAGTGGAAGGTAGAGCTGCAAAGGGAAAAGCACAATGTTCCCCCTCTCCAACTACAACAGATCACGTATATCCTTTCTAACTCATGAAGAGACTAGGTTTCTGGTGGTGAGGGAGCAAGATTTGTCCTTTTCCCTACTAATCTCCATCGTGGATACATGAGAGTGAGCTGAACCAGTGAAAAGTGATACAGATTTAACTGAATTTTCTGGGAGGTCTAAGTCAAATATGGTTTCACATGGCTCTTTGTATCCTCCCATCTCTGCCTTCTCAGGATTCTTCCCTTTTCCATAAGAAGGGCTCAAAAGAGAAGGTTCATCTCTTGCAAATCTCAAAGCCATGCCTCAGGTGAGATGATGTTTCCTCTCTTTATGAAATAAGTTGTTTTCAGGTTATATGAACATGGTTTCCTGAGCCTTAAATTTCCTGGATGTTGGCATTTGCTTTGGTGAAACTGGTCTCCAGTAGGGCAAGCAAGTGGCCGAGGTGCAAAATGTAAGGAGTATTCTCAGGGCCTGTGCATCCCTAAATTTGGCACCCTGTGTTCCTCACTCATCCTACCTAGTTGCAGCACTGTTCCCAGTTTTTCTTATTCCAACCATATAAATGTAAGCCTTCCCCACATGTACCTTCTAGTTGTAGCCAGTGTTTACATATTAACTTAATATATCATTAATCATCTCCTTTCTTAGTCTTCTCACAAAAGTACTGCTTGAACAGATGTATTCTTTTGATTTAAAAGGGAAATATTACTTTAATGAATCTATCTTATCTAGACATGATTTGAAATCTAAGTGATGAGGGATCAAAGAGCAGACATGGAAAAATCTTGATCATCACTACTGACCTAGGTTTTGCAATGATACAAGGGGAGGGAGAGTTGGTAAATGACATTATTAGTTTGTGGTAAGATGTTTTGTGAGATTTCTAAGATAGAGATTTGCTTATAAGCTTGTACAGAAAACTGAGATTTTGGGTGCACATGGGTAGCTCAGTCGGTTAAGCGTCTGACTCTTGATTTGGGCTCATGAGATCATGAGATCAAGCCCCATGTTGCATAGAGCCTGCTTGGGATATTCTCTTTCCTCTCCCTCTGCCCCTTCCCCTGCCCTCACTCTCATGCTCTGTCTCTCTCAAAATAAATAATAAATAAACATTTTTTTAAAACCTGAGATTTTCGCATTCTCCCCTCTCTAATCCTCCTATTTTATACAGTTCCTACAAACTGTGGCCTGCCAATGAAAACCTTTCCAGTATTTCAATGATTTTATCTTTTTAGTTTCTTCTAATTTTTGATATGGGAGTGGAGGAGAATGAAATGCATACGCTAGTCCATTCTTGAAATATTCTACTTTGAGGGACACCTAAATAGCTCAGTCAGTTAACTCTGTGACTTTTAGTTTCAGCTCAGGTTTGGTTATGGTTTGGTTTGTGAGATTAAGCCCCAGGCACAGAGCCGGCTTGGGATTCTGTCTCTTCATATTTACCAGCCCCTGCCCAGCTCACACTCACGTATGCATACACTTTCCCTCTCAAAAAAATAAAAAAAACTTAAAAAAAAGTAATATTCTACTTTGAATCAAAGGCGGTACTTTTTCCTGTTTTTAGGTCTTTCAGAAAATTCCTCATCTACCCATCTTCAAAATATTGGTTTTCCCCAGATGGTAACCCGTTCTCTTCTCTTTACTCTTTTTCTTTGTGCACAGATCCACATAAAGGTTACACTGATCTAATTCTAGTGACTCTCAAAACCTCTCTTCATCCTAGACCTCTATCCAGTGTCAGAACCATATATCCAATCTCCAAAAGTTATGACCACCCAAATGTCCCATAGATACTTCAAGTACATTTCCAAGGCCTACCTCATTACCTCCTCTGGTCTAGCTTATTCTCTCTTCTGTTTTCCATTTCCTAGGCTCAGCACCTCACCACTTGCCTATGCATGTAATGAGAGCTATGCCTCTTTTTTCTCCTCTACAACCAATTTATGACCAATTTTGTTGCAACCCCTTATGTACTAAGCAGTTTTCCCCTCGATAGACAACTAATACCACCTTAATCTAGGAAATCTCTAAAATGGTTACTTAATTGCCTTCCCACCTAACACACCTCAAGCCTTCTCAGTCTTCAAGAGTAATGCCTCTGAAGTACAAATTTTATTAGATAACATATGTGCTGGTTAACGTTTCTTCATACTCCAAAAGCAGCAGACCAAGCAAAGTGGGGTATGGATTACAAGGAGTGTATAAGACAGTATAATTAAAGGGAGGAAAATACCAACCAATTACATTCAAGAGTAGATGTGGATTACAATTAATGCTGACTGATGATTTATAAATAAATATAAATATGTTAGGAATGTGCTCAGTACATTTTTAAGACCCCTAGTCTGTAGGGGAAAATCCAGTTTTTTTCTTTCATAGTTTATTGTCAAGTTGGTTTCCATATAACACCAGTGCTCATCCCAACAAGTGCCCTCCTCCATGCCCATCACCTCCCTAACCCCCTCCCCTACCATCAGCCCTCAGTATTTTTTATTTTTATTTTTTTTTAATGTTTTTTATTTATTTCTAGGAGAGAGAGAGAGACAACGTGAGCAGGGGAGGGTCAGAGAAAGAGGGAGTCACAGACTGAAACAGGCTCCAGGCTCTGAGCTGGCAGTCAGCACAGAGCCCGACGCGGGGCTCAAACCCACGAACCGCGAGATCATGACCTAAGCGAAAGTCTGACGCTTAACCGACTAAGCCACCCAGGCGCCCCAGCCCTCAGTATTTTTTACAGTTACTTTATTTTTATTTAAGTACTTTCTAAACCCAAAGTAGGGCTTGAACTCATGACCCTGAGACCAAGAGTCACACACTCCTCTGACTTAGCCAGCCACGTGCCCCAGAAAAAATCCAGTATTATTCCATAAACATGCCCACTGCCTAACTCCATATATCTTTTTCTTCTTAGACGTCAAAGACTCTTAACATGTTGTACCTTTTGCTGTTTCCTCAACTTACTAATTGGTTTTCCTCTCCCCATGAATTTTAAAAGCTGGTGCCCTGTACAAAACAAATTCATTATGAGTACAAAATTTTGATGTCCTCAGTGAAGCCTTGGTATACAAAATGGAATTTTTCTTCACTTTGTAGCACTTTCCCTTATATATATTTCTGTCATCACATCTGTAATATCTGTTTGGTGTATGTATTTGTATGTATGCCTCTCGCTTAACTTCTCATGAGCAAGGCCAGGGCTTTATTCATTTTGGTCCACCAAGCAACCAGTCGCATTCAAGGCAAATAGTATGATCTTATATATATTTTACCATGAGATAGTAAGTAAATATAGACTGTATTATCAGAGAGAATTTTCTACAATACAAATAAGAAAATCAGTCTGACCACTGAACATGGTCTCCAATATCTAGTTCTCACTAGTTCCAATCACTTTAGGATGAACTAGAGTCTGCCCTTGCAGGGATCAGTGTCATTCAAGGATGTGACTGTAGACTTCACCCAGGAGGAGTGGCAGCAGCTGGATCCTGCTCAGAAGACCCTCTACAGGGATGTCATGTTGGAAAACTATTGCCATCTCATCTCTGTTGGTAAGCAAAATTCTTTGAATCTTTCAATGACATACATGTCCTTTCAAGAATTATTGAAACATATGGAGCCTTGAATTTCAGAGATCAGAGGCGATAAATCCCTTTTCGTTAACAGATAGTGTGATTATGTCCTCACTTGTCTAGTACAAGGTATTAACTTTGCTAAGATGTTAATGTGTACCTTGTCTGTCACCTTAGAGGTATATATTTATTTTCCTTCAATGATTTTGAAGCCCAAGCAGCTTAGACCAAGCTCACTTTTTATTCTCAGGGTTTCACATGACTAAGCCCGATATGATCCGCAAGTTGGAACAAGGAGAAGAACTATGGACAACAGAGAGAATTTTTCCAAGTCAGAGCTACCTTGGTGAGTCTGTACAGATAAAATCCAGTGGGCTCAGGTAGTTAACACCTTTGAATGTTTTTAAGGATTTTTTTTTTAACTGTGGCAAAATACACATGATTTAAAACTTATTATCTTAAACATTTTTAAGCTATAGTTCAGTGGCACTAAATACGTTGACATTGTGCAACTATCTCCACCATCCATCTCCAGAACTCTTTTCATCTTGTAGAACTGAAACTTGGTACTCATTAAACAATAATTCCCCATTACCTTCTCCCCCTAGCTGCTGGCAACCACCTTTCTACTTCTGTTTCTATGAACTTAACTACTTATAGGTACCTCATATAAGTGGAGTCACACATGTGGTATTTGTCCTTTTGGTGGTTAGCTTTTTTCATTTAACATAATGTCCTCAAGTTCTACCCATGTTGTAGTATATCAGAATCTCCTTTCTTTTTAAGGCTGAAATATTCCATTGTATATATTATTTTTTTGTTTATCCAATGGACACTTGAGTTACTTCTACCTTTTGGCAACTGTAAACAATGCTGCTACGCTATGAACATGAATGTACAAATATCTATTTGAACCTTTGCTTTCAGCTTTTTTAGTTATAAAAAATGATTTTAAACAAAACATCTTTAAAAAGTATTTTTTAAAAAACATTAAAAAAGCATTTTAAACAAAAGTAGAATTGCTAGAATATACAGTAATTCTGTTTAATGTTTTAAGGAACTGCCATACTGATTTCCATAGTGGCTACACCATTTTACATTCCCAATAACAGTGCACAAGGGCTCCAGTTTCTCCACATCCTCACCAATACCTGTTATTTTCTGTTTGGGTTTTTGGGGGTTTTTTAATAGTAGCCATCTTATTGGGGATCTGTTTTTAAAGGCCTGAGATCTTTGACATGCCTATACATGACTGACTTCAGTGTGTCTAAAATCTAAATTCTGGTTTTGAATATCACTCCTCCTGTAAGTTCTTTCCTTGTTTGCCTTATGTTTTTAGAGACTGCTATTTCCTTACCAAGAATCTACTCCATGCTTTGTATGTATAATGTACATGGAGATCTTAACTGTGAATTCCTTTGAGTTCTTACAGAAACATAAACCTATGTATGTCACACGCAATATAAAGTACATTTCCATTAACCCATTAAGTTTCTTCAGGTCTCTTCCAAGTCACCCCCTCCCACTAGGGCAGTCACACTTATGATTTCTACCAGCATAGTTTTGTCTACCCTAGACCTTTTTCATATCTACTTTCTTTAACTCAGCTTAATGTGTGAGAGATACATAGATGTTTTTGCATAAATAAGTAGTTTATTTTAATTGCAGAATAGTATTCAGTTGTATGAATATACCAGTTTGTTTATATGTCTCCTGTTCATAGATATTTGAAATGTTCCAGTTTGGGACTGTTATGAATAAAGCTACTGTGAACATTCTTGTAAACATCTTTTTGTGGATATGTTTTTATTTTTCCTCAGTAAACATGTAGCAGGTGGTATCACTCATTCATTAGGCAAGTGTATATTTTACTTTTTTAGAAACTGCCAGTTTTTGAAAGTTACTGTACCATTTTAAGCTTCTACCAAAAATGTATGAGAATTTTGATTGTTCCACATTCTCTTCTGCATTTGATGTTATCAGTATTTTTATTTTGGTCAGACTGAAGGGTATAGTGGTATATCTTTGCTGTTTTAATTTAGATATCTCTTATGGCCAATGATGTTGAGAACTTTTTCAAATGTTTTTTATATCTTCTTCAGAAGTACCTATTCAGATGTTTTACCCATTTTTATGGGGTAGTATATTTTTTCCTTGAGTAGTAGGAATTTTTTACATATTCTGGATAGAAGTCTTTTGTTTGATATATGTATGGTGAATATTTCCTCAGGTCTCTTCTTTTAATAAGCACACACTTTTCACTCTGATGAAACCCAGTGTATCATTATTTTCTTTTATACTTACTTTGTTGACCTCTCAAATATTTGAGATCGACTAAGTTGTGATGATAGTTTCTGTCTTTCCTTCTAAAAATGTTATGAATGTTTTGCTATTTTTATTAATTCTATGGCCTATCTCATGTTAAGTTTGGTTTATGTTGTGAGGTAAGGATTGAGGGTCTGTTTTCTTTCATATAGATAACAGTTTCTCCCATCAGGTGCTACATTGAATTAAATTGCTCTGGTGATCTTATCAAAAATTGATTGTATTTGTGTCTGCCTATTTTTAGACTGTTCTTTCCTTTGCTATCTTTTAAAGTCTTGCTGCCAATTCTACCTGGTCTTTGATTGTTGAAACTTTCTAATAAGTCTTGAAGCCATAGTAAGTCTTCTAACTATTCTTTTAAAAGAATTCTTTTGGCTATTCTAGGTCATTTTCTTTTTCAAATACATTTTAGAATCAATTTCTTGATTCTTTAAAACAAAGGTAATGGAATTTTTATTGGTGAGAACTAACATCTTAGCAATATTGAGTCTTCCAGTCCACGTCTATATTATATTTTTCTATTTTAGTTAGTTTCTCTTCTTGTAAGCAGTTTTATTATTTTTAGTATAGATGTCTTATACATGTTTCATTATATCTAATCTTTTAATATTTTAATGCCATTGTAAATAGTAGGATATTTGAAATTTCTTTTTCCATGTTGTTAATATATGCATCTCTAATTGATCTTTATATATTGATTTTGCATACTTATTGTATTGTATTCTACTTATTACTTAAGTTTTATTGTTGTTATTGTTCTTTGTTTTAGTATATTCCTTTCGTTTTTTACATACAAAATATGTCTTCTAGAAAAAAGATACTTACTTCTACATTTGTATACTTTGTGGTTTTCATTTCTTTTTCTTACTCTGTTGTACTGACTAGGATCTACAGTACAATGTTGAACAGAAGTGGTGAGAATAAGCTTCTTATCAGTTCACTAAATTTAGAAGGAAGACATTTATTATTTCATTCTTCATCCTAATATTAACTGTAGGCTTTTCATAAGTGTTCTTTATTAAATTCTGGAAGTTCTTTTCCTAGTTTTTGATGAGTTTAATTATGAATGTTAACTTTAACATGCTTTATCTGGATCTGTTAAGATGATCATATGATGTTTCTCCTTTAATCTGTTACTATGTGTGTTACATTAAATAATTTAAATTTTAAACAAAATTAAATTTGGATTCTTGGGATGAACCACGTTTGGACAACATGTATTATCCTTCTTCTAGATTACTAAAATTGGTTTGTTACTTTTTTAGTAAGTTTTTATGCATGATTTTACCAAGGATAGTGGTCTGTAGTTTTCTTGTAATGTCCTTGAAAAAATCAGAATTGTGTCAGAAATATCAAACAAACAGGGTGTTCCTTCTTCATCTATTTTCCTATAGAGTTTTTGTTATGTTGGTCTTACTGCTTCCTTAAATGTTTCATAAAAATCATTATTAAGCCATTTGGGTCTGCATTTTTATAATTCAAGACTTCTGCTTCCAGCCCTGAGCAAGTAACAGAGTCTGGAATTACACTACTACAGGAAACAACAAGAAAACTGGACAAAACTATTTTCAGATATTGAACAACAGGCAGCACAGGCCTGAATTCCTGAGAGAAGAAAAACAAATGAGATGAGCCCTACCTCATTCCAGGCTTTCATCTGAAGGCAACTTCCAGGCTGCAGTACAGAGAGAGGAATCCAAAAAGAACCTGACAATTTTACTGACTTGAGGCGACTGACATTGACATTCAAGGAGATTGAGGTTGCTAAAATTTCCAGGACATACTGCCCAAAAGAAGTGAGCTATGCAGAAAAAGAGTTTCCCAAATCTGGAAAAGGTTCTTTTTGAGTCTTTGGCTGAATATAAGTCTGCAGGTGTATAGGTGAAACCCTGGGAGACTAAACAAAGACGTATTATAAGGGAAATACCATGGTGTTGTAAGATGAACAATTGCCATAGCCTTCTGCACCAAGAATCATTTTATTTCCCTCTAGTCATAATGGAGAGAACTTGTTGATACATAGGACATTAGACACCACACCTAACAAATGGGGTGAGATTAGGCATAGGGGTTAGATTAGGCATAGGCATAGAAAGGCCACACCTAAGAAATGGGGTTAGATTAGGCATAGGTTAAGATTTTCCATAAAAGACAATTGTAAGATTTGCCATAAAAAAGCTTAAACCAAAGTATCAAAAGAATTAAACCAATCCAAAAATAATTGCTATGTGTCTCTTGGGTCCTCTAGGATGGAGATGCTGAGATAGAGTTAGGAATGTAATAGATTTCCTAGAAGTACATCTATGGAAGATAAAGGAGGAGAAAGTAAGATTAAATATAGAAAACCATTAGATCATGTTATAGATCTGGTACCTATGGAAGGAAAGGTGGAGAGGCTAACAGGGTTGGACAGGGAGAGCCTCAGACCATTGTGCAGACTTGACAAAGTCTCAGCCAACCTAGCTGGACTGAACCAAAGACTGTCCATCTTTTTATTTTTTTTTTAATTTTTTTAAATTTTTTTTTATTTATTTCTAGGAGAGAGAGAGAGAGACAGCGTGAGCAGGGGAGGGTCAGAGAGAGAGGGAGTCACAGACTGAAACAGGCTCCAGGCTCTGAGCTGGCAGTCAGCACAGAGCCCGACGCGGGGCTCGAACCCACGAACTGCGAGATCATGACCTAAGCGAAAGTCAGACGCTTAACCGACTAAGCCACCCAGGCACCCCCAAAGACTGTCCATCTGAGGAGTCCCCAATGGAGAGAAATAGCCAGCCTCTAGTGCCCCCTCAGTATACAGTCTTTGGATGGGCACTTCCTGGGGAAACTGTGGTTTAATTCATCACCTGAAGAGCATCCTGAAGATGCTAACAACTGCAGGCTGTCAGGTAACTACACTTCTTGCACATCAATGGCAAGTTCTTTTCTGAAGGGAGATCCTAGTAGTGCAACTCTATGGCTGCCACAGAATGCCATTTAAAGAACAATACTCTTCATGAAAATATAACCATATCTCAAACTCAA